TCGGGCAATTTTTGTAAAATATCATTGGGTATTTGTGGTAGAGACGTGGCGAAAGACAGTGGAAAATTTGTTAAGAGAGTTGGTTGTGAAACAACAGGATCTGGTGTAAGTAATGCAGTGGGTGCACTCTCACTGACTGGTTCACTTAGTGGAATATCAACAGCGGATATTTCTTCATAATTCAGTTGTATATCATCAACAGAAGTTTCTGTTGAAAAAATTGTACTGGGATCAGGATTTGTTGTTGAATTTTCTTGACGTAATAGGGTGATTGAGTCGATGTTTGTTAGTGGAGGTGGATGTTCAGTCGATGATTTCTGTCTACTATTTTCTGAGTGATCAACAGCTGCTGTTAATGTAATAGATGACAGAGGTTGTTGAGAAGGATTTTGTTTACGTTGTTGCTGAAAAAAGTAGAATTCAAAAAAATATCTCTCGGAGACTACTATCATTAGATTTGAAATCTTATTCATGGACCAAAAATCTTTATTCTATCTCTGTATTGGACTTTCTGTAGACGCATAATTTGTGGGTTACGCAGAAATTCATCTTAAAATAGAATGGATGTGCATATATTTTTGAGTAAAGTTTGATAAAAGATAGGTGACAATTTGAACAAAAAGGTTCTGAATATGTTGCAGCTAACTAGGAAAGTGACTCGTGTCTTCAATAGGCAACTAAAACGCTGGCTTAGATAATACTTAAAAAGTATGTCAAATTTTTGAAGAATCACAAAAATAGCTTTAACACATTCACTGCCGTATACGTCGTATGACGTATTCACGAATGCTTATTTGAAACGCCCGACGGTGAAGGTGTTAACAAGCTGCATAGTGGATACATTATTTAAGCTAAGAGGTTGCTAAATACTCACAGCATGATAATTATCAACCACTCTTTTCACGAATGTGTCTCGCTCAGTATCTGTATTTTCAATACCGTCACTTGATGTGACATAATCAAATGCATCAGTAGATGTAGGTTGAAAACATAGGGGATCTTGTGCTCTTTCAACTGCGACACTACAAAAATCACAAAAAACTCGTTCTAACATGACACAAAATCTTTTTCTATAGGGTATACCTTTTTGCAGCATTGCTTAAAATATCATAGATTCGCTTTCGTGCTGAATTATAAGTAATTGTCTGATAATACCGACCAAGTTCACCGTAATCATTACCAGAGGCACGAATATAATTTGCAATGGCCGAGGCGGAGTTCCCGAGTGCTTGAACCAAACTAAGTATGGTTTGTCTTTCGAAATCATCGACTTTTCGATAGGCATGTTTGGTTTTAGTGCTGGACTGTTGCATGATTACGTAAAAAAAACCATGTCAACTGTAGAAAGAGCAAATTGTATGTGTTTAAAAAAACGCGAACAAGTTTTATCTACTATTTTTTAAGAAATATTTTAGGTATCTAACACATAAGACAAAATCTTGCATATATTCTTTGTTTACTTGATCAAATGTGTCATATAGACTGTCTGTA